GCTAATGCTCACATTCCTATTGCATTACCAACTAGCAAACCTGGGCTCATCACTTCTAATGCTAGTGGACCAACTAAAACATGGAAAAGAAACAGAACAAAGGATGGAAGACTTCAAAGGGAGCCAGCCCTACCCATCCTCATTGACAAAGAGATTGGAGCTAAATGGCCAAGGTCAGATGAAGAATCTCAGACTCAGCAACAAGAGGACCATGATCCAGGTCAGACTGACAAAAAGAAATTGAAACTGAACTCTGAAAATGTGGGGGTTGCAGCCTTGAATGGCACCCCAATGACCAATGCTAGTTGCGGTGTGGAATTGTAGAGGGCTGGGTAGGCCCTCTACAATTTCCCAAATTAGAGAGTCAGTTAAGACTCATCACCCAACTTTTTTCTTTCTTTCTGAAAAAAAAATGGCTTTGTGAAATCAGTAGCTAGGAAGTTAGGGTATGTTGACAGATTTTCTTTTGTAGATCATATTTGTTTGAGTGGGGGTTTACTTCTGCTATGAGATTCTAATGTAAATATTATTAATATTATGCAAAAATCTTTTTATATTGCGGTTGAATTTGATCAAGCTGCTGGCCCTCCCAATGGGGTATTTTTGTCTATATGAGCACTTGCAAGCTAACTAGAATGCATCAGTGGGAGGAATTGGACAGAGACAAAGCTTGTTGGGGTTCCAAATGGTTTGCCATGCGGGACTGGAATGATATTCGATATAAAGAGGAAAAACCTAGAGGAAAGCCGAGAAGTGACAAAAGCCTTTTAGGCTTTAACACCTTCATTAGCAACATGGAAATGGAAGAGTTGCCTATCCAAGGTTATAGCTACACTTGGTGTAACCTGAGGGAAGCAGAGGGCCTTGTAGTGGAAAAGCTAGATCGAGCATTTGCTTCAACAGATTGGCTGATGGACTCACCAAATGCCACAGTGTCCACCAAAATAAGAGGTGCATCAGATCATTCTTTGCTTCTTCTCAGTCAAGGATCGGGCCAACCTAAGATACCTGCAAGATTCCACTTTGAAAGAAATGGCTCAAAATGGAGGGAATAAATGAAATAGTCACCTCATCTTGGTCTCAGCATACAAGAGGGACCCCTTTTTTCAAACTAAAGGAGAAGGTGAACAATACTAGAGGTGCCCTTCTTATCTGGAGCTCAAAGTTCAGGTCCAAAAACCAACAAAGTATTGACTTGCTCACCAAAAAACTTGAGGTGCTAAGAGAAGACAAAACTGAAGATTACTGGGAGCAATGGAATGCAACAAGGACATAACTCAATGCAGCTCATAAGCAAGAAGAACTTCATTGGCAATAGAGGTCAAAGGTGAAATGGCTCAAAGAAGGTGATTCCAACACCAAGTTCTCCATGCATACACTCTTCAGAAAAGGAAGCAAAATGCAATCTCTAGGCTCTTAACCTCTAATGGATCAGTGCTCACATCTCAAGAAGACATACAGAACCACATTACTGTATTTTATTCTGAATTATTCACTTCAGAAGGAAGCTGGGATGGGGAGTCTATCATTAATCTCATTCCTCAGACAATCTTAGTTGATATGAATCAAAATTTACTGAATCCAGTTACTGAGGAAGAAGTGAGGCTGCACTTTTCTACCTGCCCGCAGAGAAATCCCCAGGTGAGGATGATATGAATGCTCTCTTTTTCCAACATTTCTGGAATTTTGTTAAAAAGGATGACTTTGAAGCTATTCTCAGTTTTTTCCAATCTGGAGATATTCTAAGGTACTGGAATCACACCATACTTGCTTTAATCCCTAAAGTGAACAACCCTGAAGCTCTCTCTCAATTTAGGCCTATTAGCCTATGTTCTGTCATCTACAAGGTGCTCTCTAAAGTCCTTGCTCAGAGGCTTATGCACTGATTGCAAGATTGTATCTGTAATATCCCGTCATGTTAGTAATATAAATCATGTGTTTAATTCCAATATAATAATATTGGCGATTATTATTTTTCGAAATTAAATATTTCAGTCGAGATTAACTGAAATTATTTTCAAAGTCACGTTTACGTTCGAAATAATTTTGGTAATTAAGTATCATGCTTAGTTAATTAATTAAGCATAAAATTATGATTAATTAATAATTAATCATGTTTAGCAAGACAAATGCCGCAGCATTTGATGAAATTGTGCAAAAATTCTAATTAATGCCGTGAGCATTGTAGTGCATGATCATGGGGAGAATTGTCTCCATTTCTTTAAGCTTGAGGTGTCATTTTATTAGGCCTTAAGGGATGACTAATGTTCTTGCTTAGATGACTAAGCATCATGTCATGACAAGTGTTACCATTTAATTAAGCCACCTCTTAATTTTATTTTTTTATCCACCTCTTAAGCCTTCATGTATATAAGTAGGGAGACTTAGGGAAAATTCAGCTATTTTCCCATATGCATATTAGTATTAAGTAAGTATAGAGAGGTAGTGAGAGCTTTCCCTTAGCAAGAGTCACCGCACGCAAAGCCTAGGCGCAGGCACGCTCGAGAGTCACCGCGCACGCACGTGAGTTCACGGAGGGCTGCTAACATTCGAGCTATTAAGGAGGTAACCTCCTTATTGATATGGTCTTGGTGTTAGTTTGCTTCTTTTCAGTTCAAACCTTAGGCTTAAAGTTCATATTTTGGCCTTAAGTTGCTCTCGGTCGTGCGAGTAGATCATGTCGAGCATGTTCATGTTTTGTCCGAAACTCTCGATCAAACTTCAAGTATTCAGTCAGTATATGGTATATCATGTTCAGTTAACTCATGTTGGTCGAGGGATTTTCATGTTTACTCGATAGGTTTGGCCTAAGGAAGTCGGCAGTGCACGTAGCGCACGTCCACGGGCCATCTCATGCCATATCATGTTATCTTTTATTGTTGTCATGTTTGTTCCAGCAGTTCATGTTTAATTGATCATTTTAGGTCAATTTATAGTCAGTTAAGTCAAGTTGGTCGGAGGAATTTCATGTTCGGTTGAGGAGTTGGCTTAACACCGATTATACGCGCACGGTGTGCGTACCTCGGC